GGAAAATGTTGCTGTATGCTTGTGAGAGAATGATGGTAAAAAAGAAACATGATATTTTAGTGTTTTATAAAAATTGTTTTGCCTTCCCAAACTCCTTGATATGGATGGTCTCAAGGACCCTATTTCCTGGACCAACTCTGAGAACTACTGCCCTAGAGAAATTCTTGCATGTGTGTGCCAGACATGTAAAATGTTCATAGCAGTACAGTACATGATACATAAACCTAAAAACAACCCCAAATTCATCAATTTGTTTATTCATTCTATGAACTACTATATAGTTATATTTGATGATATGAACAAATCTTGAGCAACAGAATTAAATCATGAAAAAATATATTCAGCTTTTATATAAAGTTCAAAAAGAGACAAAATCTAATAAAGTATTGGCGAGGAATACAGCACAGGTGGTAAAACTAATTAAAAGTAAGTGAATGAGTAAGACAAAATGCAGGAAAAGTAACTGTCTCCTGAATGACAGGGCTGAGGGTACTCAGGAAGGCTTCTAAGGTACTGGGTGGTTCTAGTTCTTCTGCTGAGTCGTGAGTCCATGGGTGTTTATTTTGTTCATGTTTTATATATTCTATACATAAACAAAATTTCAAAATTAATAACAAAACAAAACAAAAATTAAAAGACTAAAAAAAGTCACTGAGAGAAAATTAATTTAATAATAGAAGAAACCACAAAGGAATATGTAATTTTGAATATATTCAAACACTGAAAAAAAAGTTAAAATGACATAAACAAGAAAAGCCCATACCAATGGAAAAAATATATAAACTACAAATGGAAGTAAACATATGAAAAGCAGTTTATCATTATTAGCAATCAAATGCAAACTAAAACAAAGAACCATCAATGAAGAAATAATGACACTAAATATGGGTAAAGGTGTGGTGAGACTAACACTCTCCTTTAGGCTAGCAGGAATGAGTATTGGTGCAACTGCTAGGGAAGAAGTTTAGCACATATTGTCTCGAATGTCTGAAAAATATTCTTGAAAACAATAATTTCATTTCTAAACATGAATCTTAAGGAAATTACCTGAACTACCGCACGAAAAATTGTATTAACAGACAACTGGAAAGAATTTAAGTGTCCAAAAAGGGACTATCTAAGATAAAAGAAGAAAACTACTTTTTATTTATAGAACTGAACATTAAATGGTAATATACAATGTTGCTTACCTCATAAATATGGGAAAATTAGATGATGTCAATAAAATTGTAATACACAAAATTATAGACAGAGTGGTCTTTTAAATTTGCTTTCCTATATGTATAAGAAAAAAATCAGGAAAAATGTATCCACTATTAGTAGACGTATCTCTGGATGGTGAGCTTACGGGGATTTCTTCAGACGTTTTTGGTATGAACAAAATTCATTTAAATGAATTCATATAATTATAAAGCCAGACAACAAACCTAAAATAACATACCCCACAAACCTCTCAAGGGCTTTGGTGTTCAAGGCTCTCTATTTTATATTCCCAGTTTTTACCCACATGTGCCTACCCCACTCAGGGTTTAAGATAGTGGACTTCCTAATGCCTCCCCAACACGTCCCAAACCTTCTCACCTCAGTGCCTTAGCTCAGACTATTTGATCTATCTTGGCCATCTTTCTCTATCTGACCGAGTTCTACCATCTTCCAAAGTTCACAAGAAACACCACCATTCCTATGAAGTTTTTTACCATTACCCCAACTAGATGTTCTTTCTCTTTGTCTTTGACTCTTACAGACAATATTTTAGCATTATTACTTTTAATAAAATTTGCCTTAATTTTAATAGTTATCTCGGTTTAATGCCTCCATTACATTGTAGTACTTTGGGAAGGGGCTCTATCCTTTAGCTCTTTCTTGAATACCGACACACTACTCCCAGAATTAAGCAGATAATGAGTACTAGAAGAACTGAATAAAGTACTGTCACAAGAGATTAGTCTCTTCTCTTGGGTGTAAGAAAGAGGAAGAAAGAATGGGAAATGTTTCTCATTTGAGGCTCAGCGTGGAATTTCTCACAGAAACAATGAGAAAAAAAAGTACCATAATTATGGACTTTTATTCTTTTTGCTAGCTAAAAAATCTATCCATAATTGGTAACTTAATTTCTACAGACACAATAATGTGCTTGGAATTGCCAAGAACTCACCCCCAAAAGCATTTTTGAAGTACAGTTAGTGCTTGAAATGATATACTTGAAGATAATAAATATTTTCCTTTAGGAAAAACATCAGGTTTGCTTAAGTCTGCCTTAAGCCTCTTCTGAAATGGAATATTGCTAATGAAAATAGAAAGGGTAAAAGACAAAGAAAGGAAACTGGATGTTCTAAACAACTGAGTTAATATCTAAAAGCAAACTCAAAAGGGAGAACACAGGCAAATTATAAAAGCCTTCTTACCACTTTCCAAATCTACCTTTATCTGATGCTATATTTCAGGAAACAACTGAAACTTTAAGGTGAGAAAGTCTTTAACGGTTTCTATTTTCCTTTCCCATGCAAGTTCTTAAATGAATATTTACAACTGCTGTGCAGATAACCCACACACATACCCAAGTGTGTATAACTAAAAACAAAACCCTTCCTATACTTAGCACCATATAGTGCATTTCTTTGAAATAATGCCTGTCGTTATGAGACATATTCTGAGGGCTGCTCTTTGCCAGATTTTGGTGGGGGCGGGTAGTCAGTTAGGACAGTTCTTAATACAGAATTGGACTAATCTTCCTATGTATATATTTAAGTATTGCTATATTCATTCAATTAGTGTGTACTGAGAACTGGGCTAGGTATACAGAGGTAAGACACACAAGACCTCTATGGTCAATGTCTACAGGTTGCTACAGATCCCATGTCCACACTACTGGAGGAAATGAACAATAAACAGACAAGATGATTACAGATTACAAGAAGAGCTGTAAAGGAGAGAAAAGAAACAAGACAGGGAGGCTATTTAATAAGCAGTGGGGGCCTCTCAGATACACTTAAACCTTGAACAGAAAAAAAAAAAATGGACCAAGCCATGCATATTACCTAGGAAAAAGCTTTCCAGGCAGAAAGTAGAATGGTCCAAGATGGAAAGACTCATTCTGTTTGAGGAATGCAAGCAAGGTAGTGTGGCTAGTCATGTTTTACAAACTGTGAATCATGTTTTAATTATGTCAATTTTGTGGGTTACTGTATTTTTAAAAAGAAAATAGAAAAAACATAAGTCACATGTTTTCAGAACAAGTATTCTTTAAAGAACTTTTGCTTCAGCTATGTGAGTGTGCATATGTGTACTGGGATGGAACGTATAATATGTTTTTTTTTACTTTGGGCAGTGGTCAAATCTATACTAAGGAAGGAGAGTTGTAATAGATGAGGATGGAGGGGTAGGCAAGAGCCAGATCACGTATGGCCTTGCATTATAGGCCACCCCCAAAAATTGGGATTTTATTCTAAGTGCAGTGGGAAGGCACTGAAGGGTTTTAAGCTGGGGAGTGACCTGATCTAATTAGACATCACGGTGTTCCTAAAAGATTACTATAGTGAAATTTGGAAGATATGAGCACCAGCCCTGGCCTAGCCACTAATACCAGGGATTTTGAGCAAATCACTTAATCTCTCTAGATCTCACTTTACTCATTTTAAAAATGAGAAGGCTGAACCAAGATCTTGTCTATTGCTAAATTTCTGCCTATATTCTGCTTCCTCCCTGGGGTATAAATAAATGACGATTGGGGAGTTACTAGCTCACTAGGTCTAATTCTGAGCTACTTCTTAAAATATTATAAACCATGTAATGATAACAGTTACATTTCTACAGAAAGCAATTTTAGAATTATCTCTTTACTGGAACCAGCTGCGATACATTATTAGAAATGAGATCTCTGGAATTGTCAAAGTGAATCAAGTGCTTTTGCAACTCTCTGGTGCAAAGTTAAGGGTGTGAAGAAAATTGGCAAGGAGTAATGAAAAGATTTACTGATCAGGTTATTTGGAACAGATTTCCTTATTCTAGGTCATCAACTGGATGTATAATCTGGGACAGTTTAAAGTTGCAAGGAACCTCTGCGGAGCACTAAAATCAAGATGTGGAAGCTTAACTCCTTTCACATCAACTAAAATGACAATGGAGGCAAAATATTCGTTGAGAGCCTACTATGTTAAGCCCATGCTAGACAGTTTGACATATACTTTCTCATTTAATCTTCCCAATCTTATTATTTGCATTCACAGATATGGCAACAGGGGCTCAGAATAGACAAGTAAGCTATTTAATGGCAATGCCAAGATTAGAATCAGTCTTAAGGTAGGCAATGTATAGATCTTTATTTAATCCCGTATTTATAATATATTATCCTATATGTTTTAAAAAAAATACTGTATAAGTATTAAATCATTAGTTGAGAACCTAATAACTCATGTACCTGTGATATCTGGGACACTGAATATTTGACCAATAAACCAATTCTGTACTTATTAGGTACTTTGCAAGATAGTGTGAAATGAAAAGATAATTTGTTCCAGCACTGGAGGGCCTACTCTGTAGGGAGCATGCTGGGTTGTATGAGTTTGAACCAAGCAAAAACATCCAAAGAATTTGAACACCCAGTCAAGTTCTTATCAATAGTATTATGGCAGTTTCCAGGTTCATTTTCTCAAGTGTTGCTGGTGAAAGGCCATCAGAGGAATCGTGGACTGGACACTGTCACCTATGTCGTGGGCCTAATAAGTGTCCTGCAAGTTCCATAAATGAGAGGAGATGCTAGAAACTCAATGACTTCCAACTTACATTAACCCTTTAAAAGAAGCACGGATGTACTATCTGCCCAGTTGGAACAGCGTACACTGCTTGTTATGGAATCGAAAACCTTTGAAACGTTCAGAACATCATTTTCGTGAGAGCCGAAAGGGTTCCTAACACCTCCTACAGAAACACTCATAAACACCCCAACAAAGTTGAGGATGCTTGCTGCATACCTTCCTTAACCCCGAGAACGCGGTACCCACCTGTTATACACTCAGCTTCGAACCTCCGACGGGTCTCAGAGATGAGCTTGGCTTTATTCTGGGCGTGATTCTAGATGGGAGACACGATGGGACCTTAAATACTACTCTCACCACCCGGCATACCCCTCAGCCCAGCCCACTTGCACCTGGGCGCGCGGCCCCCGGGCCTCATAGGCTGTTTCCGGGTCCTGAGGGGCTCGCGGCGGTGCAGTCGGCTCCTCACCTCGGCCATGGTCACGGTCGTGGATGTGATTGCAGCTGCCGTTGCCGTCGCCCCTTCCACAGTCGCCGCCCGAGTATCTCATCACCCGCTGGTCCCGCCCAGAGGTAGAAAGGGCGGGAGGAGGAGTCGGTCGCGTGACACCGGAAGGCGGACGGAAGTTCCACCGTACTGTCCAATCGGGTGCGGCCGCCTGGTTCTGGAGGCGGGATCAGGCCACCAGCCGGGATCCCATTCGTTTCTCGTTCTGGCATCACTGCCCGACATCCCCCGCACTGCGGTCCCGCCCCCGCCAGCCCAAGATCTCTGGCGCTTCCCCCGACGAGCTCCGCCCTAGAGATCTAGCTGGCTATTCGCTTTCACAACACACCTCGCGGCCCCGCCTCCTCAGCCTCCCCCGGCAAGCTTCTCCTTGCAGGCTCCGTATGCTCCGCCTCCTATGCGCTGGACGCATCCTCCAGCCCGGACTTCCCAGGATGCAGCGCGCTGGCGGGAGGTTTGGAGCAGCTAGACTCTCTAGCCGCGTGCGGGGTTCGGGACGTGGCGGCTGTGCTGAGGTAAGCTTGGGCCGGTGAGTCTTCCCTTTCCGGGCCTTCGCGGAGAGGGCGGCGGGGCTGGATCTGCTCCCCTTGTCCCGGTATTGCGAGAGAGCGAGAAGGAAGTGGGCGTCCCGGGACCTGGTTCTGTCATTCTGTGGAATGATAATTGGATTTTAAGTGGTATATTGGTGGATTATTTCGCCTGAAACTTTCTTCATCCCTTCGCACTTGGAGTATGAGATGCTTAACAAGGAAAATATCTTTGAAATTTTTAAACTCAAATAGTTACATAAAATTAAACGACGAAAAGCTTCTTTCATTTTTTTTAACTTTTATTTATTTATTTTTATTTTAGCGTATTATGGGGATACAAGTGTTAAGGTTACGTATATTGCCCATGCCCCCCTCCCCCCTCGAGTAAGAACTTAAAGCGTGTCCATGCCCCAAACTTTGCACATCGTAACTTCTTTCATTTTATTAACGAAGGTAGTTGTTTTCCAGACGGGGCGGCTTGCTACTCAGGGGACCTTTGGCAACGTCTTGACATTTTTGGTTCTCACAACTTGGGGAAGGGGATGCTTCTGGTTTTTAGTGGGTACAGACCAGGGACGCTGCCAAACATTCTGCAATGCACAAGACACCCTGTAATGGTTATCCAGCGCAAAATGCCACGAGTGCCAAAGTTGAGAAAGGTTTAGATTTATAAGGTACTGTTTGTGAGTTAAAACATTAACTGAAAGAAAATCGTTGTGCATACAATATTGCCTTTTTTAAAAGTTGAAAGATACTGAAAACTACAAAAAAGTTGTAAGAACAGTTCCCCTATTTCCATCATCCATACTCAGCCATGGATAACATGGCATGATAACATCTTTCCCCCTAGCCCGAGAATTTTTTTGTACGTTTTTTTTTTGGGGGGGAGGGGAGAGTAAAGTTATTTGATTAAATCATGCACATCACGTGTGTTAGTGCAAATAGTTTAATTTGTACTCCAGAAATTCTATTGTACTTTATATCTTTACAAAATAGATTTAAAACAATTATTTACTTTAAAATATCTAATTCTGAAGTTAAGCATTTCAGAACAATATTTGCAATAACCTATATACAAGAGGTACTAAGTACCACTGGCATATTTATGGGAAAAAATTGAACATATTTTTAAAAAATTGTTTGAATGCATCCTTAAAAAATATTTCGGATATCACTAAAGTCCCCCTCTGGCTCCACTCCTGTACCCTGATACCAACCCTCATGTCCAGAATCCAATCCTTTGGAATTTGGCGTGAAATCTTTACAGTTTTGCTTATTTTGGACCAGACTGCCTGAGTTTGAATCCTGGCATTGTCACTTCTTATCTAAGCCTTTGAGAAGATACTGAAACTCCCTGCCTCAGTTTCCCCATCTGTAAAATGGGATAATAATAGTGCCTATGGCATAAGGATGTCGTGAGGAATAAATGAGTTAATCCAAAGTGCTTAGAATAGTACCTGGCACTATTCCTTGAGGAAAAAAAACAGCACCTGGCACTGTTCCCTGAGAAAGTACTCAAGGAATGTAGCCATTGTAGGTAAACAGAAAATATATTAAGGCTGTTTTATGTGTTCTAATTTATATAAATAATAAAATGCAGTATATATTTGTCCGCAACTTTTTTATTCCTTTTATTTTTGAAATATAGCCATGATATACATAGATCTAATTAATTCCTTTTAATTATTGTGTGATATTCCATCTATATTTATTTCTTCCTCTATTGTCATTGGAGTTTTTACCTTTTTTAATATTGCAAATAACAGCATAGTGAACATTCTAGAGCAATGTCCTTGTGCAGGGGTATTTCTCTGAGTTTGTATCTAGAAATAAAATTGCTGGATGTATGCAATACAGTGTACTATCAAATTACCTTCCAAGTCTTGTCTTTTTTAAGTATTCATAATTATCTCCTAATTGTTCTGTTTCCAGTCTCATCGTGAGTACTGTCACCAGGATCTTTATAATTCAGAAGTACAATCCTGTGATTTCTGTTTTTGAAATCTTTCAGTGGTTTATCATTGCTTATAGGAGAAGTTTAGAAGCCCTTAGTATGACATAAAAACCTTCTTTAACTTAATCTTTCCTAATTCTCTAATTTAGTAGATCACTATTCCCCACATTTGCTGACATTTCAGGGATATTAGATAATGGTGGGAAAGGGGATATCAATTCTGTATAGGCCCCCCAAAATAACTTCTATTTACATAGGGAGAAAAAAGTTTTAACAGTGACCCTATTTTGTAGCTATGTTAATTTACTTAGGTTGACAATGTCATATATGTAGGAAAAAGAACATATATCAGTATTATGTTCATAAGATTATGTTCAGTGTTATTAGGTACAGTTTTTACTTGGGCACCTTAATTTACCTTTTTTCCAAGGATACTTTCTCTTGGTCACAATTGATAGGGTTTATTATAGAATTTGGGGGGGCTTCATCTATAGATATAATATTATAATAGTCTTCTAGGATCTTTGTGAACACCCTAATAATTTGTTTAAAGAGTTCTGAAATTTATAGAACCGAAATGAATTTATTAGCACTTAAAGGGAACACCATGTTTATTGTGGGGGGGCAGTAGAGTGGATGAGGATGGCGATTTACTATATGTTAGCATATGCCTATGTATTATCATTTTTCTAGTATACACACATCTGTTTTAATTTTATGTATAAAACAGATACAGTCAACTTTGATGTATGGTAATATAGAATAGGAAAAGCTCAAATTAATTATATATATATTTTGTAAATAATATGCTTCCAAATCTCTGTTTCCCCCCTCGCCAACCAGGCTGCGACAGGAGGTAAAACTTAACTGATTTGAGTTATCCGTTTTCTTCTGCAGCCGCTGTTGTAATAGTAGTAAGTCAAAAGTCAAATAGCCAATTGGCTAGAATAGTAAACCTGGTACCCTGATAATCAGGGTTTGATTAATCAGGGGTTGCTAATATTGAATTAAGAACTTCTAAATTGAACCTTAGTTTGATATGTTTCTATCCTTAAAAATAAAAATTGCCAAGAACTTTTAAGATAGATGTAGCAAGAATACTTAATCTACTCTCTTAGCAATTATAGCTCAATAAAGCTGGAAAAAAGTTAAAATTAAATTCATTTTAGTAAGTTAGATCTAAGTAATGAATAGCAAACATAGTAAAACCAAAAGAAATTAAAAAGAGATATTGCATTGGTATAAAATATAACAGGTATACACATATCTGTAAATTCAGTAAGCCTTGAAATTATAGAAAGTTTGAAGAAAAATATTTTCATAAATAATTTAATACATCAATAGCATCTATTTTTTCAACTCAAAAGGTGGTATGTTTAAAATATGTTGAAAGTGTGCATGTTTTTGCAATGATATTAAAAATCAAAAATAACTTTTAACTTAGTAGTCATTTATGTTTTTAGACCCATTTGAGTCTAAGTCCCTGAGAATAAGTTTGCTTTTTGCCAGGAGATGACATAAAAAGCAGGTTGGATTAGGATTATATAACAGTTTTGAATGCCATGCTAAACTTTATAGGAATGGTTTGCAACCTTTTTTTCTGTACTATTCATAGCAGTACATGGTATTTAGCATCTATCTGTCCAGGTAGTAACTTAAGGATTCTAGGTCTATTGAGAAGGGCAGGGGAATGCAAGTTTTTAAATTAGGAGATGGACAGTGACAGGATCAAGTATGTGGTTTAGAACAGTTAACTGAGGTAGCATAAATTGATATATTGGAGAGAAGAGAGATTAAAGGAAGACTAATTAAGAAGCTTTTACCTCTATCTGAGAGATGCAGTAGTGGCAACTGAAACTGAGAGTTGGAAGATAGAGGTTTCTAACTTAGAGAACTTGGTGACGACATTAAAAGAATGGAATGTAAGGGGCCTAATTTCTGACCATTTAACAATCAGATTCTCCTTAATACTATCACACATGGGTTATTGGTGTGAGCCAGAGCATTGTGCTGATTTAACATTAGTTGTGACATTTAATATTAAAATAAAATAATAAAATCCTTACAGAGGTTATTTTTGGTTGTTTTTAATATTCAAAAAAATCTGAAAAACTCTGAGTAGGTAGTAAAAAATAATGAGTTCTTAGATTTTTACCTCAGAGTGTATAATTTTAATACTTTTCCTTTCTGGAAATCTAGGAAAGTTGACATGTCTGTGGGAAATTTGAAATACATTATTATTCATACATTTTAATGTAATATAATTTATACATTTGTTTTCTTTAAAGTAAACATGAGTTTCATAAGTAAAAGCCACACCTCTGACTTACCTGCCTATCTTCTTTACTAATGAAGCTGAAACTACTTTGTGTTACCTATTATCCCAGACCTTTGCATTAATTGCCTAACAATAAACCAGTAAGCCAGTGACTTTTTTCTGTTATTTATTTATTTTTATTGATGCATTGTAATTGCACGTATTTATGATGTACAATTTTATGTTTTGATATATATGCTGTATAATGATTAAATTGTAATATTTAATGTAGCTGTTGCCTCTTGCATTTATCATTTCTTTGCGATGAGAACATTCTGAAACTTCTAGCTATTTTATATTATAATAAACTATACCTTACTGTTAACCATCCTCACCCTACTGTGCCAAGAACGCCAGAACTTATTCCTTCTATCTTATTATAACTTTGTACCCTTTGACCAACCTCTCCCTGTCCTTCCCTCCTGTCTTCTCTCCCCAATCTCTGATAACCACGGTTCCACTCTTTGCTTCTATGACACCACCTCTTTTTTTTTTTTTTAAGGTTCTACATGAGTAAGATAGTATGGTATTCATCTTTCTGTCTGGCTTATTTCACTTAACACGATGTCCTCCAGGTCTGTCCATGTGTAGCAAATGATAGGGTTTCGTTCATTTCTATGGCTGAATAATATTCCATTGTGTATATGCACCACATTTTCTTTATCCATTTATTTGTTGTTGGACACTTGAGTTGATTCCATATCTGGGCTATTGTAAATAGTGCTGCAATAAACATAGGCATGCAGATATCTCTTCAATATATTGATTCCATTTCTTTTGGATATATACTAGCAATGAGATTGCTGGATCGTATGCTAGTTCCATTTTTGATTTTTTGAAGAACCTCCCTACTGTTTTCCATAATAGCTATATTAAGTTACAACCCCATCAAACATGTGTAAGGATTCCCTTTTCTCCACATCCTCCCCAACACTTGTTATCTTTTGTGTTTTTAATAATAGCCATTCTAACTGGAGTGAGCTGGTATTTCATTGTGGTTTTGATTTGAATTTTCCTAATGATTAGTGATATTGAGGTTTTTTCATATAGCTCTTGGTTATTTGTATGTCTTTTGAGAAATGTCTAAAGTTTTTCTGCCAATATTTTAATTGGGATATTTGCTTTTGCTGCTGAGTTATTTAAGTTCTTTATATGTTCTGGATATTAAGCTCTTGTCAGATGTATAGTTTGCAAACATTTTGTCCCATTTCTTAGGTCGTCATTGTCTCTTCATTCTTGTTAATTATTTCCTATGCTATGCAAAAGCTTTTCAGACTGGTGTAATCCTATTTGTCTATTTTTGCTTTTGTTGCCTATGCTTTGAGATCTCATTTAAAAAATCCTTGCCCAGCCCAATGTTGTAAAGCATTTTTCCTATGTTTTCTTCTAGTAGTTTCATAGTTTGGGGCTTTACATTTAAGTCCTTATTCCATTTTGAGTTGATTTTTTTTGTATATGGTGAGAGGCATTCTTCTGCATATGGATATCCAAATTTCTCAGCACCATTTATTGAAGAGACTGTCTTTTTCCCAGCATATGCTCTTGGTACCTTTCTTGAAAATTAATTGACTATAGGTGCATGGATTTATTTATGGCCTCACTATTCTATGCCATTTGCTTATGTGTCTGTTTTAATTCCCTTACCATGCTGTTTTGGTTACTATAACTTTGTAGTATGTTTTGAAGTCAGATAGTGTGATACTTCCAGCTTTGTTTAGTATTGGCTGTTCGGGGTTGTTTGTGGTTCTATATGAATTTTAGGATTGATTTTTCTACTTCTGTGAAGAATGTTATTGGTATTTTGGTAGATATTGCTTTAAATCTGTAGATTGCTTTGGGTAGTATAGCCATTTTAACAATATTCTTGCAATCTGTGAACATGGGATATCTTTCTGTTTATGTCTTCAATTTCTTTCATCAGCTTTATAGTTTTCAGTGTAGAGATCTTTCACGTCCTTGGTTAAGTTTATTCCTAGGTATGTTATTTTTTTTTGTAGCTATTGTAATAATATAATATTGATTTCTTTTTCAGATAGTTCACTATTAGCATATAGAAATGCTACTGGGTTTTGTATGTTGATTTTGTATCCTGTGGCTTTACTGAATTTGTTTATTCTAAAAATTTTTTGGTGGAATTTTTAGTGTTTTCTATATATAAGATTATGTTCTCTGCAAACAGGGATGGTTTGATTTCCACTTTTCCAATTTGGATGCCCTTTATTTCTTTCTCTTGCCTAATTGCTCTGGCTAGGGCTTCTAGTACTCAGTATATAATAGCCACTGAATAGAGAGAGCTCAACATCTTTTTTTATGTGTTCACAATAGAGTTTCTTTTTGTTCTTTGTTTTACTAATTCTCTCAAGTTGCTTTTCAGTTTGTTCAGAGTAATAAAATGCATGTCAGGACAGAGTGGTGGTTGAAAGTGTAGACTCAAGAGTCAAGAGGACCCTCTTGCAAATCTAGCACCATTTCCAATTGGTATTAACTGCGGACTAGTGTTGTAACCTTGGAAAATTTTCTTGCCTTCTTTAAAATAAGGTTTTTTTGTTTAAAAAATAGGATAATAAGGATATTTATTTTAAGAGAATAGTTGTAAGTATTAAATGAAATAATGCATGTATTGTACCTGGCATATAATAAGCATGAATGATTGATAGCTGTTATTTAATTCTTCTGTTCATTACAATAAGTTGTGTTAATCCTCAATTTTTCCTACTTTGAATAAGAATAGTGACTTCATAGATCATAAAATGCATTGTTTTCATAAAGTAAGGCTTATTTTTATTTCTCATCTGGGATATTTTAAGCTTTGTTACAGCATCTCCTATTTTTATTTCTGGGGTTTCATTTTTGTCATAGAACCTATATGAGTCCAGGGAAATAGGAGCCCAAGTGTCTGGGCTATGGGAGAAGTCTAATTCAAGAATCACCATATTTGAGGAGAAACTGAGCTCTAAGACGACTAAACCATTAACTAACTGAATTGTCATTTTAAAGAAGCTAAGGCAGGGGGTGTGAAACCACATTAGAGATGGTGGGTTTGAAACATAAGAGAGAGAAATAGAACCCTTAAGAAATTCCCTGAACCAGAAAGAATATCTGAAGTCACTTTTAATAGAGCATCTAAAGCTTTAAATACATACCATTAACACATTCACCTATCTTTTTTGATGGCTATTTGTATTCTTAGCAAACTATGTTTTTAAAAGTATCTACAGAAATAATATTTAGGATGTGTTTTTTCGATGTGTGACATTATCAAAATAGTATAAAAAGCTTAAAGATATTTAATAAAATTCGTAGTTACCTGTGTGATAGTTCTCTAACAGAAACGTGTTTTCAATTGTTCCTACTTCATGGCAGTTCTTCTCATTTCTTTTTTAGGTTTAAAAGCATCAGCTGGAACTGATTTGCATTTGAAAATTGGATGAACACAAAGACTTGATATTGTGGAATGACTAGCAAACAAGCAATGTCATCTAATGAACAAGAAAGGCCTTTGTGTTATAATGGGGAAGTCCTTGTTTTCCAGTTGTCTAAAACAAATTTTTCAGATAAAGAGCCTGCAAAAACGCCCATATTACATGTCAGAAGAATGGTATTTGACAGAGAAACAAGATCATTTGTTCAGAAGTCCACTGGATTCTTCAGCATAAAGGGAGAAAACTCTCATTTGAAAATTGTGTGTTGCAACTGTGTGTCAGATTTCAGAACTGGAATTAACCTCCCTTACATATTGATACAAGGCAGTAAAAAAAATAATGTTTTCAAATATTTACTACTATTTCTTCACAGCACCAATAAATTTGAAAAGCGTTTGAGTTTTACAGTAGGCCACAAGTTGAAGGATGGCTTAAGGGTCCTTAATGGCCCTTCAGTTTTATGGAGACATGCTGACACATTCTTCTGTTTGTCTTCCAAAACTAGCAAAGTTATTACTCTGTCAGTTAACTTTTCCTCTATTGAGTGGGTAGGGGAGATTAAAAATTTAGGTATGGTTTTATTGGGACTAAAGAAATGTTATTTATCTAAGGAAGGATGCAACCAGGAACCTTCAAAATCAGATTATGCAATTTGGGATACCAAATTTTGTATATACTATCTTGAAAGTCAAGAATTATTAAGTGATGCGTACATTATCCCTCCTATTTATAGCAGTGTGATAACTTATGTGCATGTCTGTGCAGCTGAGATTGTCAATGACCAGTTAAGAATGTCTCTGATTGCCCTTACTCGAAAGAATCAGCTGATTTCATTCCAAAATGGGACTCCTAAAAATGTGTGCCAGCTTCCATTTGGAGATCCTTATGCAGTTCAACTTATGGATTCAGGTGGAGGAAACCTCTTTTTCATTGTATCCTTTAGGTCCAGTGATGCTTGTGCTGTTTGGAAAAAGAATTTTCAGGTATGATGCCTATTTTTATAATAATTCATTTGATGGTTTTAGACCTTTTAAATATTCCTGCATTTCATAGAGTTCATCCTGGAATTTTATTATCTAAGTCAATTTTTAGTGCTATACTTAAAATCATATGTATTACATTGTTATTTTTTGTTAAAGTTATCTGAATACTACTTGTTAATCTCATCCTCTTGGCCTAAAATGTCTTCAGTTATGTGATTTGAAGTGTTTATAAGTCAAGGCAAATCATTACTAGTCGGAAATGTCTCTTCCAAAAGTAATTTAGTATATTATACAAATTTTTACATTTTTGTGCTACTTTGGGAAAAAAAAAGCAGGTACTGCCTTATTTTATGTGCCTTGTCCACTTAATTAGGAGCTCAACAAAAATTTTTTTCATTATGTTATCAGCTTGATGTGGAATATTGATAAATATAGAAAGTTTGAAATACATTTTTAAAATGTGAATCATTATTTGTGTGTAGGGGGGGAAATGTCAAGTTGCAATTGTTTTCATCAGGCTTTGCCTTATAAATTACCTTTATGTTAATAGGGATTATATTCAATCTCTATAATACATATTCAACCTCTAATACATAAAAGACTTAAATTCTCAAAAGGAAAATAATTTGAAAGCTGTGCTATTTTAATTTGGAAGCAGTCTTTTAAAAGTACATTGTACATTTATTTGGAAATGTCTTTTTCTACTGGTTTTTCCTTTCAAGAAATGGTAGGAGGAAAACATCTGGTATACCTTATCATCATTTTTGTGACCAGTGTAATGGGAAAGACACATTTAACCTGAGTTTGAATCCCAACTAGGTCACTTACTGGTGTTACCTTACTTAAGTGATATATGTAATTTTTGTGAAATCATTTTCTTCCTATATGAAATTGGGGATCATCCTGCCTCTGAGAGGAGGGAATTAAATTAAATGACATTGTAAAGTGTTTTGCATAGAGCTTGGCACATAAAAGGGCTCAGTAAACAGTAGCTATTATGTTAGACAAGGGCTAGGGCTGTCACAGGGCAGTTACTTGCACCTCACCTACCCAAGGTTCCTCTATTCACCTAGATAAGGAAAAGCAATTCCTTGTACCTCATCAATTCAATGGAATATAACCCTCACTCTTTTGAATTGGATCCCCTGCTTGCACACTCTAAAGCTCTGCCACTAATGTGTCCCAGAGCAGGAGACTGCATCAGTCTCTGTAGGTGGGCCTGTAGCTGCTGCCTCCCTAATTTGAAATTGTGTTTTAGGGTTCTCTCTCTACAATGGACCACTATCCTTTCCACAAATGACTTGCCTAAGTGCCTACTGATTTAGCTCCTAAACTACCTCTTCAGGGATTCTGTATTTCTAAGTTGCTTTCAAATGCCCTATTTTAAAAGCCCTAGAATCACACCCTGATATCTACAAGTAAGTGCTTCTAAATTGCTTCTAACCTTGCCAATGGGCATTTTGCACTTTCTGCCTCCATCTTAGTGTTGCATTTATACTCACCATCTTAAAAAAAGGGGATATAATGTAGGGTAAAATATTTGATTACTTTAAAAACTGGAATAAAAGCTAAGAATTTAGAAATAAAGGAGGAGTGGGGATAGTCAAGTCAGAAAACCTAAGGAGAAATAACTGCATTTGAGCAATTATACTTGCACAATTCACAATTGCAAAGATGTGGAAACAACCCAAGTGCCCATCAATACATGAATGGATTAATAAAATGTGGTATATGTATACCATCGGGTACTATTCAGCTATAAGAAACAGTGGTGATATAGTACCTCTTGTATTTTCCTGGATAGAGCTGGAATCCATTCTACTAAGTGAAGTATCCCAAGAATGGAAAAATAAGCACCACATGTACTCACCAGCAAATTAGTTTCACTGATCAACACCTAAGTGCACATATAGGAATAACATTTATCAGGCATCGGGCAGATGGGAGTGGGGAGGAGGGGTGGGTATATACATACATAATACATACATAATGAGTGCAATGTGCACCATCTGGGGGATGGACACGCTTGAAGCCCGGGGATGGGGGTGGGAGGGTGCTGGCAAGGGCAACATAGTTAACCTAAGCATTTGTACCCCCATAATATGCCGAAATAAAAAGGAAACCTAAGGAGAAGTAGTTGCATTTGAGTAATTATACTTAGTTTAAGACAAAAAAGTAAATATGGCAGGTTTCACAATTGATTGGAACATAACTATAAGAGAAAATTTTTTTCTAACATTGAATTCTGAGAGGAATTTACTGTTTGTGGTATCATGTAAGAAGTTTTAAATAATAAAATGGGTCTTTGATAGTAGTTTTGCCCCCAGACAGAAAGCAACAGAAGTAGTCTTCTGGTTGGCTATGGATCCATCCATCTATCCATCCATCCTTTGACTACCTTTTTCTAAGAAGGAATTAATAAGCCAGCTTACGAAGACAAGTATAAATTAAATAATGAAAATCAAGGTTAGTGTGTTCCCAGAGCAGCCTCTGATAAAAGCCCCAGGTATAATGTTTAAACCAGTGATAAGACTTGAAACAGAGCTGAGTCTAGAGGAATTCATGATTAGCTTTTGTCTTCTTAAGCTTGCTTTCTTCAGTAGAAATTGTCTCTGTACGTTTCAACAATCTATGTAGCAGGCATTTCAAAACTGAGGTCATTGTGAAGTATACCTGAAGTATAGATATTGGTGTGTTGTTGATAGAGGTTAATGTGTTCTAGAGCTGTGCTGTCTAATATGGAAGCCACTAACTACATGTGGTTATTCAACATTTGAAATGTGGCTAGTCTGAATTAAAATGTATTATAAATGTCCAATATACACCAGATTTCAAAGACTTAGTAAATACTAAAAGTAAAATATCTCAGTGGGTTTTTTTACTGATTACATTGACTTGAAATGACAATACTTTGAATATATATTGGGTTAAATTTTACCTTTTCTTTTTACCACTATTAGAAAATTTAAAATTATAGATGTGCCTTGTATTTGTGGCTTACCTACATTTCTATTGGATAGCACTCTTCTAGAGCTATAACTTGCAAATGTGTGTGCATGCATGCATACAGGCACAGTTCTGTGATATTTGCATGCTGAACACATTCTTGTTACTAATGTCTCTTCCCATAGTTCATTATACTCCATGATATTCATGGGAGGAAGGGAGGTTAGGGGTTTACAAATAAGCTGCTAACCTGTACAAGTGAAGAAATCACAGCTTTAGAAATTAGCCTTAAAGGGGCAAGATTGCTATTCGGTTATGTAGGTAGAAGAGCCTTACTTACATTCTTGCTTTAATGCAAGCTACCTTCCTGTATCATCTAGAATAGATGATGTATCTGTGCTTCTGGGATTCTGAGTGGGAGATTTAGCTTTTCTGCCTCAGGGAGAAGGGGGATCTTATCCTCGTGGTATTAGTTTTCCAGGGGACCGATCTGAAGGGTTTTAGCTTTGTGGACCTTTAAGAAGTTGTTTTCTGTTTTAAACTCGAAGGTCTCGTGTTCTAATATAAACTGATCAAATGTTTCCATTATGCTAGGTCAGTGCTAGGACCCATTATTAGTCACACACACACACACACACACACACACACACACACACACCCCCCTAGGGTTTAAGGTATTAAGTTAATCTTGACTCTGTTATAGGTTATTCAGCTTAGAGAGCTCTTGAAGTGTCCACTGGTACCTTCTGGTTACCTAATGCAACTGAATTCCTTGGGTAATTGCTCCGATCATAAATGCATACCCTCTAAGGCTTATGAGAATGAGGGCCAGCCTTAAATTAACAGTGCAAGAGAAAGAATTTTCACTGGAGTCTTACTCATGATAAACGTCAGAATTTTCAAAACATTTAGTCTTGAGAAGGGTTAGAATTTATAAATAGATTATAATAAAATTTAGATTAGTCTTGAGAAATGTTAGAATTTATAAATAGATTATAATAAAATTTTAATATAGAAATCAGGAACGTGACAGTCCCTAGACAAACAATAAAATATTCTAAGTACCTGGCTATTTGTAAAGTTATTATAACTCCTTATATTTTCTGATCCCTCAATATCTTTATTTTATTTTAGTTTTTACACTACCATTTTCATTACTCATTTGTAAGATTGAGGATAACAAATTATAACTACATGATACAAAAAGATTTATTTCATATCTGATTTTTTTCTTCTCTATTCTTTAATGTTCCCTTTCTTTCAGGTTGTTGCTAAATGGGAAAAACTTAGCTTTGTACTGATAGATGACTTTATTGGAACTGGAAGTGAACAAGTACTGCTACTTTTTAAGGATTCCTTGAACTCAGATTGCCTGACTTCATTTAAAATAACAAATCTTGAAAACATAAACTATTCAGTAAGTTCTGTTTACTTATTATATATTACTTTAAGAATCGTTTTTGAAAATTTAAGTGCTTAAAAGGTTTTAACCCATCATTTAAATATTTGTGATTTTTACTTTAACTTTTTGAACTTTAAAAATACGGAGATTGAATCTTTTAAATATATACATTGAATATCCTTTCAACAAATGTTATACAAATTGACTATGCTTTTGATAAAAATTTGTAATATAGTATATCTGGTGGTCACTCAAGTGACTAATACTATGGATTAACTTTATTGTTGCTTACAAAAATTACATATTATGCCACTACACATGACAGTATTGGATTAAGGAATAAAACAAAGTAAAACTGCTTTAGTAAAAGAAGTTAAGAGTTCAAAATATCGTGAGATCTTAGGCATAAGGGAAATTATACCCCTGAAGTTTCAGATCTATACAAAAATCTCTCTGATTCTTCAGTTTTTCATTTATAAAATGAGGATAATTCTTATTTCCTCTAGTTAGGATTTTAGGATTTAGGATTTTATAAAAAGAGCTAATCCTTTATATGAGCAGTATACAAATGTTAAGTGGTAATAAGAATCTGTAATTTTTTTCTAGTTACAAGAAATGATGGGGGAAAATATATAATTTGCCTTTTATAGAATAGTGTACAACATGGAAAACTGCCCTGTGACTAGATATACTTTAATTGTATTTTGTTTTATGAATTTTCAAGTTCAAAATTTCAGTTTTAGGGTTTTTTTTATTTATTAGAGTGAACCACTGGATTGCAACAAAGATGATTTATTTGAAGACAAACAAGGGAATCGTTACTTGGTGATTTCACCTCTGGAAAGAAGATTAAAAGTTAGTATTTGCTTTTTGCTTTTGCTTTTTGATTAGTGCTATTCTAAATGAAATAAAGAACATTGAAAGAAAGGTCCTTAAAGTATAAGCAGCTTGGGGAAACAGTAGTACTTCAAAGGGTCTTTACTTTTTTGGCACCTCTATAAAAAGCATTATGGCATTACTTATAAATGTATCATCAAAAAATGATACCCTTTTGTATCAAAAGTGTATAGATGTAATAAGCCTCATGAGAGAAAATATAAGAAGCTCACTTTTGAAAACACATTCTATCTGGGATCAGTATACTGTGGTATCTCTTTTAGAGTGGCAGCGAATATGATAAATCATAACACATTCCAAAGGTAAATAGTTTACCCTCAAATTTTCCAGAAGAAGCTCCCTAAGAGTTTTTGTTTTTTGCCAAATGTACCAAGGTAATGCACATTCCCTAAAATACTGAGACTATGTCAAGAAATATTAAAGGGAAACTAATGATGACCTGTGATTCTACTATTAAGGAATAACCAGTTTTAACTCTTTGGCATGTATATTCTTGCAGATTTTTAAATGAATATGCACACATTTACATGGAAATGTGATTATAAGATACATGTTCTTTTGTAAGATGCCTTTTTTGTTTATAAAAATTTTCAAATATACAGAAAATTCCAAGAATGCAGTGATTATTTTTGTATTCCCACATAGATTCAACTACTTTTACTTTTAAGAATTGTATTGACCTTATCTGTCTGTGTTTGTGTGTCTGTGTGTGTGCATTTTTGCAGAACCATTTGAAAGTTGCATATGTCATAATACTTTTTTGTATTTCTGCAGTAATCTCCTAAAAATAAGGATATTCTTCTGTGTAACCACAATACCATTATCACACTCAGAAAATTAATAATGATCCCCTGATCTTCTTTACTATCTAGTCCATATGCAAATGTATTTAGTTGTCACAAAAATATTTTGGAAGCCAGGCATGGTAGTTTGTACATAACATCCTAGCACTTTGGGAAGCTGAGGTAGGAGGATCGCTTGAGGTCAGGAGTCTAAGACTAACCTGGTCAACATAGTGAGACTTTGTCTCTGCAAAAAGTTAAAAAAAAAAAAAAAAGAAATTAGCCAGGCATGGTGGCTCATGCCTGTGGTCCCAGCTACTTTGGGAGGCTGAGGGATAGGAAGGTAGCTTTAGCCTAGGAGTTTGAGGTTGCAGTAAGCTATGATGACTCCACTATACTCTGGCCTGGGCAACAGAGTGAGATCTTATCTCAAAAATATAAATAAATAAGACAAAATAAATGTTTTTTTTTTTCAGGGCTTAATCAAAGCTTACACTCACATTTGATTATATGTCTTGTTGGTCTTTATATCTGTTAATAGAATAATGCCCTCTCCCCCCTTTTTTAAATGATACTAACGAGGAGGTCAGGCCAGTCATCCCTCCTTTAGGATTTGTCTGTTTGCTTGTCGTGTCAATTAACTTTTTCTTCTATTCCTAGGGTCAGGAAACTTTTTCTGCAAAAGGCTAGATAGTACATATTTATACTTTTTAGGCCGTTTTAAAATTATTTTGCAATTATTCCAATTATTAAAGTGAATTGACTTTAATAAATGCTTATTGAACATAGATATGAATGTGAATAATAAAGCATCATATCAGATGTAGGAAGAGATTGATGGATTAAAAACTTTTGTAACTTGAACAAAGTAAAATAAATAGACAAATTATGGAAAAAGAAATTGTAACACATGACAAAGGATTGGTTTTCTTAATGGAAATGTGCATTCTTATATAGTATTGTTAGGAATGTAAAGTGTCCCAACCTTCTCAGAGGGAAACTTGTTATAGTTATCAAAATATGAATTGCACATGTCTTTTTACTCTTACAGTTTTATTTCTAGAAATTTGTTCTAAGGATGAAGTTGATTTTATAAGAATGTTTATAAATACCAATACCAATAAATACCAATACCAATGTTTATAAATACCAATATTTGTCCAAATCTAAATATCCATCATTAGGAGTATGGTAAATAAATTGTGATTTACCTAAACCGTGGAATAGTATGTAGCTGTCAAAAATAATAAGGTGCACCTTTATATTGATTTAGAAATGATGTGAAAATAGTTTAATTGATGAAAGAACTTTATGAAAGATTTAATTTATGAAGCAGAATTAACTTTTCTAATTAAAAACTTGATAGATGAATTATTTTTTAAAAACTTTTTTAAATTTTTCAAAAATCTAACAATGTAAGAATAAATTATCAAGCCAGTTTTTAAGGCTGGAACCCAGAGAAATAAGCAGAGCACTGATGCTACTTTTACTCTAAGAGCATATGTATTGAACCTAAAATGGTAGTGCCCAGGTACCTGGCAGAAGAAAAGTTAAAATCCTCTCTAGAAATACATTTATCCTAGGCTTCATATAAATCTCACAAGTAATTTTTGAAAGAAGATGAGCTGCTCACAGAATAACTAAGTACATAAAGAAACAAGGCATCATGAGTAATTATTCACAGAAAATACCCAAATAGCATTTATATCAACTAAAAACACTTTGAAATAAAAAAAAATCAACAGATGACTTTACCAGTTAACCCAAAGAGATGAAAGAGATGCAGAGCAAATTAGTGAACTGGAATATATTATTAAATAGTAAAATTATCCAGAATGTATCACAGAGATAAGGAAAATCTGAAAGGTTTTAAACAACACAGAGGGAAGGCAGGGATGAATGGAGGTGGGGATAAGAGATAGTTGACAGTCAATTTTGTTTCAGGTATCCACATGTTAACAGTACCTTTCAATGTGAATAATAAAGTTCTAAGTGCTGAAAGGCCTTTTGTAGATGAACAAGTCTACCTTCCCCCCATTTTACACATGAGGAAACAAATGGAGAGCCAGAAAGGTTAAGTGACTTGCGGAGCTAGAACTAGAGTCTATTTCACTGTTCTTTCTCCCGTGAAATTTGTTTTCCAATCAATTGTTGGAGGGGAAATGGGGAGACCAGGACCTTGGAGAAACTTCCGCACATGTACGTGAATGTTCAGAGCATCATTGTTTGTAATACTCCACAACTGGGCATAACACAAATGCCTATCAGTGGGAGAACAGAGTAGTAAATTGTGGCAGTTATACAATGTAATACTGTAATGCAATGGAAAGAACGAACTACGGCTACTAGTGACAACACAGGCAACTCTAAAACCCAGTATATAGAGAATGATTCCATTTATAAAAGGTTCAGAACCAAAACAAAAAACAGAGAATATTCCTTAGGAATTCATACACAGGTAATAAAATTATGAAGACAAATAAGGAAGTTATATTAAAAGGCCAGGGTAGTATTGCATCTACTGGAAAAAGGGACACTTGTGATTGTGTAGGGCCCCCAGGCAGCTCCTATAGTGGTACTTTTTGGCGTAGGTGGAGTTACATAGGTGTTTGACTTCAATACCAGTCTGCAAAATGTTTTTTTTTGTATTGTGTGCTCTTGTGCATATAAGATAGAAGTTAAAATAAAGAACAAAAAAGCAGGATTCAGTGTCACGCAGTACAGTCTACTCCTGTATTTTGGTTTTGGGTGGGATTTTGTGTGGAAGAGAAAGAAAGCTTTCTTAACATATACATGGAAAAGCTCTGGAAAGATAAACAATCTATGGGCTGTGCAAATGGAATTGAGTGTCTAGGAAGAGAGGTGAAGTATACTTTTATGTTGTTTACATTTCTTATTGTGCTTATTTTCACAGTTTTATAATAAAACTTCACAACATAGATTATTTAATTAGTCTGTTGATTCACCATTTGGTCCTGGAGTGGAGGGTGTGGAAGAGAGGAGGGAAGAGAGAACACTGATAATTTTTGAGGATGCGTTTTCAATTTGCCCACATGGTCCTTTCTTCCCTGCCTTACCCCTCTAGCAACTCAAATGTGGCTACATACCTCTGATGGGTACATCTCCCTCCCCACCACGTTACAAATTACTAAGAAAATGAGTGATGGAATATGAATAATGTGGAGCCTGCAGAACTAGGTCAACATAAGTTTTAAAATATTAGGTAGACAGTTTACATACTTTGTGCAACAAGGTAAGATACAGAAATAATTCAGTCTTCATTCTCCAACTTCTATTCATTGATTAAAAAGAAAAAGAATTTACCTGCCTTGAAATTTAGTTTAAAAAAAGGAATCCAAAAATGGAATGCATTTTGTTTTTTAAATCTAGAAAAACATGTTTTATTAATATTAAAAGCCAGATTAATACTTAAACTGCCTCAGATATCCATCTGAAACGAAACAACTTCTATCATTTCGATGGCACAACTCTTTAAATTTTCAGTAGCAAAATATATTCTATGAATGTTTCATCCTTAGTGCTGAAATCTATTTATCTGGTGTAATAAAAGGAGGGAATTACTCTGTGCCCAGTTCATAGCGAAATTATTATTTTTATCAGTACTTTTCAGGGTTTTTTTTTTTCAGTAGAGTCAATCTTAGAAGTGAGTTTATTAGCACAAAAATAAATTTTGACAGTTCAGGAGCTATTATATGTTGTCTTAAAGATTTTACTATAAAGATTATATGAACAGAGGATTTTAAACAGTATCAAATTAAATGTGGTCTTTGTTATTCCTTATGATATCTCTGCTTATGTGGATGTTTTGTTTTTAAAGCAGAAATTACTTCAACAGCAAAAAACAATTTTTTTGTGGGGGTGGGAGTGTTGGTAAGCCTTGATTTTTATTCATATTGTTTTCGTTTTCTAGTTACTTAATAACTCAGTAGTGAAACAGATGCTAATGCATTGGCATTCTCTCAGTTTGATACATAAACTCCATATTGCAGTTGTTTGCTATGTTTTCCTTTGAAAGAGAAAAATTACATTTTTTGTACTTAGAGAATTAAAATCTATAAATAAAAGTTTTGCTCTGAGAAGTATTCTCTACTATAGAACAAAAGAATTGACAAGCTCATTTGCAGAAAGTACTTCCTGAATTAATAGCATGTCCGGTTTCATTTGAAATTGTGTCTCTGGCAACCATTTTTCTTTCTGCCTTATAGGTTGGTTTGGCTTCTGTTCGGGAATTACAACAACATCTCTTGCTTAAGGAAAAAATTGTTTCAAAATCTTGCAAAGCTTTAATAAACCTGGTTCAAGGGAAAGATGATAATACATCAAGTGCAAAACAGGTAAAATTAATCATGTGACCATTTTATCATTTTATGAATTGAAAATCTGCAAGCTATTGCAGAGTTATTTAAATAGGAATATTGTAATAGAAAATGCTGCTCAATGGATCAAGAAGAGTGGCGGAGATTATAATGGTGGACTTTTATGACATTGAAAAATATTTTATTAAAGAGCCAGTATTTTACTAATTTGCATATAGTTTTGTAGGATATTAATTGCTTAGTTATCAGGAACCTTGGGGAACAAGTCCTTTTGTTTAAAAAAGAAACTTTCTTAGTGTACATTGAATCAAAAATCCAAGTAAATTATGTATTTCCTAACTTCTTATAGAATATACTGAGTAAGATTTAACTTTGTATTGGTGCTGATATAATTTTATCATTAGTATTATAATCATTCTTTTAGTCTATGGCATTGTTCATTTCTAAGGATAGATATTTTTTCCTCTAATAAATATCCCTAAATTATTATTTTTTAGTCTTATCTGTTTTTTATAGTTTTATTCTATTTTTTCTTGTGGCTGACCATCATAAGAACTTCCTCAGATACCTTTCAGTGACTTATTGCCAGTACAGTAATGTAGAAAATTAGCAAAAACTGTTCAGACTTCATAAAAAAATAGTATTTATGCACATTGATTCCATACAGAGAAAGATACAGCATAGTTGAATGACAAATACCATGTTTCCTCGAAAATAAGACAGGGTTTTATATTTATTTTTCCTCAAGAAGACACCCTAGAGCTTATATTCAGGGGATGTGTTATTTTCCCCTCAAAGCCTCAGCTTACAGCACACACAGGATGGCTGGGACCTGACAGGGAGAGCCGACCTTGTTGGTGGGGCTGCCAGTACCTTTGCGGTCACCTCTGGGATAGTAGCTGTTAGGATGGGGCAGATGAGAAGGGCTGCTTGTCTTCTTTACCGCTCCGTGACAAAATGCACGGGTTGTGCACATGCGCTGTGTAGCCACACCCATCACTAGGTCTTATTTTCGGGGTAGGGCTTCTATTGCGCAAATGCTTAGAAATCCTGCTAGGGCTTATTTTATGGGTAGGTCTTATTTTCGGGGAAACACAGTAAATCAAGAAAAGCTGGACATAGAGAAACTTAATGTTGCATTTTATTCCCTCAAGTCACTTTACCTAGTTCTGACTTCCTTCTGGATTGACCATTCCTGTCATGGTCTGTGCCTTGTGTCTGTATTTCAGCCTTAGCCATATGAGGATTTTGGTCCAAAACATGATCCTGTTAATGTAAAAATACATATTGTATTTCTATATTACTGTTCTAATTTCCTGGGAAACCTCATGAAAGTCATTGTTAAAATTAAGTCTCCCCTTTTCCCTTTCCTACCTCCCCTCAACAATTTTGCCAGTATTAGGGGAAGGAATGTTTAGAAATTAATTTATTGAAACCACTATGTGCAGGACCTTATTTTTGGACCTTTATTTTGTTAATTTTAAAAGCAAGCCTGGAAGGCGGTGAAAATTTCCTCAGGTTTCAGATGAATAGCCTGCCTCAGAACTTACCTAAAAGTGTCAAATTCCTAGGAAAATGTTTAGTCCACTATTGTCTGAGTACCCATATCTTTTTTTCAGTAATTACCACATAGAGAGTCAGTATAGAGTAATGATTAAAGTAGAGCATGGGCTCTGGAACCAGCCTGCTTCAGTTCAAATTCCAGTGCTGCTACTTGTTAGCTATGTGACCTTGGACAAATTACTTAACTTCCTGTGCCTCATTTTCCTTATCTGTAAAATGTAAATAATACCACTACTGACCTACAATACTAAAGTTATTGTTGAAGGTTAAATGAATTGATACATGAATGGCATTTAGAACAGTACCTGGTATAAAGTAAAACACTCCATAAGTGTTGTATGTTGTTATTGCTACTACTATTACAATTTCTAATGATATTATAAATCCATATATGTGTAGAAAATGAGTGAGTATGGACTGGACTTTAAGCATAAAATTTTAACATAAGCTATTCATTAAATATGAAATGTCCGATTTTGAATCAAAAGTTTAGTTACTATATCTCATACAAGAAGCAGTACAGTTAATCAAAATTTGTGCCTAAACTGTTGACACAGTTTTGCCATCTTAAGGGTAGCCTTCTTATATAAGCAGTGAAGAGGCCTGGAGAATGAGTAGCAATGAAATAGTGAAAGGTGTTTTCCACAGCTTGTTGAGCATTGAATATTTTTCCTTGCAAGAAGTGGTCCAAATCTTGGAAGAAGTGGTAGTCAGTTGGTGCAAGGTCTGGTGAATACAGTGGATGACAGAGAGTTTCCAAGTCCATCCTCTATAGTTTGAGCAGTGTTGTTTGTGTAACATGTGGTTGAGCGTTGTCTTGCAAGAGGATTGACCTGTCTCTATTGACCAATCTCGGTTGCTTAATTGCAAGCATCCTCCTCATTTCATCCAACTGGTTGCAGTCAACATCTGCTATACTGGATTGACCAGGTTTCATGAAGCTGCAGTGGATAATACCAGCGATGGACCACCAAACAGACACCATTAGCTTTTCTTGATGAATATTCGGTTTTGGACTGTGTTTCGGCACTTCATCTTTATCCAACCATTGTGCTGAGCGCTTGTGATTGTAAAAAAAAATCTATTCTCACACGTAACAATACAGTGTAGAAATGGTTTGCCTTTATGTCATGACAGAAAAGAAAGGCAAGCTTTATGACAATTTCTCTTCTGATGCTCATTTAATTCATGTGGTACCCATCTATCCAGCTTCTTTACCTTGCCCATTTGTTTCAAATGGTCCAACATGGTTGGAATAGTTGCATCAAACCTTGCTGCTAATTCACGGGTAGGTTGAGATGGATTCACTTCCACCACAGCTTTCAGCTCGTTATCCACCTTGGTCTCAGGTCACCCACATGGCTCATTTTCAAGATTAAAATCACCAGAATGGAACTTCTCAAACCATTGACATACTGTGCCTTCATTAGCCACATCTTCACAAATATTTCATTGATATCTCAAGCTGTTGACGCAGCATTGGTTCCATGATGGAACTCATATTAAAAACTAACATGAATTTTTGACTTATCCATGGTTTCACAAAAATTGCTGTAAAAAAATTGAAAGATAATTACAAGCCAAAATGTGCATTCGAAAGAATGAGGATGTACCTTCACAATAATAAAAAAAAAAAAGCATAAAGGTAAAATGTCAGAGGTATCAACTGTCAAACTTAGTACTTAAGGCAATAAGACATTCCATACTTAATAACTAATATAAGCAGTCCAAAGATAGGTTTATCAATTTCATTCATTACAGTTTTTAGGTTTATCAATTTCATTCATTACAGTTTTTAGGCTTTTGTGCAAGTCACTGATAAAATACAAATTGGATTGTTTTCAGTATAGCCGGGGTACATATTGTCAAATCTTTTTTCAAAATGGACTCCAGGTTTACTTCCTTGTTGGCTCTATGTTGGATACCCCATCTTGTTCCCAGTCATGCCATGCTTCTTGATCTGAATAAATAGTTAATTCTATGTGTTTTATAAATTTTATTTTGGTAAATTGTATATAATCCATAATAGTATAATTTATTTAAAAATCTTTAGTGCATAAGGCATGGCCACAAGCTGATTTTTTTTTTTTTTTTTTAGTTTTGCTATATTTGGTACATTTTTTTGTAATCAGTTACTTAAACATATTTTTGTAAGGAATGTCTCGTTCCACTTTGGGGTGAAGAAGAAAATTCTGTCCATATCTTTGATGCAAAGTTACCAGACTATTTTCAAGATTCAGAACAGCTGGTGAAAAAGATATGGTATCGTGTTATGGATGATAGCTTGGTTGTTGGAGTGAAAACCAGATCTTCTTTGAAGCTGTAAGTAAATTCTAACATGATAACACTATCTTGATGTTCCAGAACAATGCTGTCCAATAGAAATTAATGCAAGCCACACATGCAATTTTATATGTTCTAGTAGTCATATTAAAAGATTTAAATAGAAGCAGGAGAAATTAATTTTAATATGTTTTATTTAATCTAGTATATTCAAATCATCATTTTAATATGTAATCAATATAAAAATTATTAATGAGATATTTTAAATTTATATTTTCATACTGTTTGAAATTTGGTGTGTATTTTACATGCATAACACATCACAGTTCAAACTAGCTGTATTTTTAGTGGTCAGTAGTCACATGTACCTTGTGGCCACTCTCTCGGCCAGTAGAGCTCTAGAAGTATCTGTTTGACTTTAATGGGTTGAGTTAATAATATGAAGAGGATAAGGTTTATGAAATCAAAATGCTGTAGTTTCAGCGTAGCAATAATAACACACAGAACCTTCTAATCAAAACATTTAGAAGTATTGGGAACATTTAGAGACTATTGACCAAAGTGGATAGGTAAAAACTTAGTTAAATAACAAAATATCTCCCTCTGAGAGGATTTTCTCTTTGGGGTTATTGAAATCACGGATAGGGAAGTAATGTGTATGCTGTCTGTAGCCTAACAAAGAGCTTTTTTAAGTCAAAGCAGGCTAAATACAGGCATTACGATAACTATATTTGAACCACAAATATGCAAGCAGAGAGGAAGAAATGAGTTAGTGCCTTGTAATAGTCAGACAATGGCATTGTATTTGAGCAGCTTAACCCAGTAAGGAATCCAGACTAATCTAGTAGATTTGAGATATGGATTTATTCTGTTGTTTCAGTGAATTTCTAAGCTGTTTGAGCTGGTTGATTATCTGGGTTTTTCTTTTCTTTAATATGGTATGTTCTCTTAATTTTTAAAAATTAATTGTAAAACCAGTGTTTTATTCCTGAGATAATCAGGTTCATTATATCATTTTGATACATTGCTGAATTTGCTTTAACATTTGGTCAAGAATATTTACATATATGTTTATGAGTGAAATTTGCTTGAAATTTTTCTTGAACGATACTTGCCTGGTTTTAGTAGCAAGGATATACCAATTTATAAGTGAGTGAAGAGTATTTCCTTTTTACCTATTCTCTGGAGCAGTTTATATAAATGTGGAATTATCTATTCTTTGTTATTCATTTATACTCACCTGGAAAGCAGTAGAAATCTGGCATTTTCTTTGTGAGATAATTTTTAACTACTGATTCTATTTTTTAATAGTTATAGAATTATTCACATTATAATTTATTCTTCAATGCATTTTGCTTATTTTTTCTATTATCACATTTATTAGCATAAGGTGTTTCTAAAATCCTCTTAGGTATTTATCAACTATATTGTTAGTAATTGTCAGTCTCTTTATTTCAAATCTTATTTTTGTTTCTTTTTTTCCTTGATTAATCTGCCAGAGATTCATCCATTTTATTAGTCTTTTCAAATAATTAAATTTTTGGTGATTTTTTAGTTGTATGTTTCCTATTTATTAATTTCTGATTTTTAAAATTGTTTTCTTTTACTTTCTGTAGATTTATTATGTTATTCGTTTTCTAACTCTTTTACCATGACATGATTAGATGCAAATTTCTTATTCTCCTTTAGGTTATTGAGCTTCCTGGCTCTGAAAATTATTTTTTTTTTCCTGGCAGTTCAGAAAATTCCTGAATATTATTTCTTCAAATATTTATGCTTCCTCATTTTCTCTGGTATTTATCTCATTATGAAACTCCAGTGAGTCCTCTGTTAGACCTCATTCCATGCTCCATGTCACTTAACCTCTCTGTCGTATTTTCATATCTCTGTGCTGAATCCTAGATAATTTCTTTTGATCTATATTCTGTTCACTAATTTTATCTTCAGTTCTCTCTATTTAGCTATTTAATCCAGTCATGAGTTTCTAATTATTGTTTGCATTTATGTTAAGTTTGCATTTATGTTATGTTAAGTTTGTCAGAACTGCCTGGTCATATTTTATTGTCTTATATATTTTCCATCTTTTCTTATTTCCTTAATATACCAAACAGAATTGCTTTAAAAAATGTTTTTATATATAGAAAATTTCAAACATACAAAGAGAATAGTATGGTGATCCCATCTGCCCATCACACTGCTCTAGTAATTATCAGCTCATTGCTAATTTTGTTTCATCTATACCTCTGTGCATTCCTGACCCCCAGCTCCCAGATTATTTTGAAGCACTCAAAAGTATCATATTATTTCATCTGTAACTATTCCAGTGTATGTATCTAAAAAGTAAGAACTTCAAAAATATAATCACTCCTCAAAATTAACAGTAACTCCCCCAGTAAATGTTCAAATTTTCTACTTGTCTTTATTTTAAAATATTTTTTTCAAATCATGAGCCAAATTAATTGGACTTGACTGATATATCCAAGTGCCTTATAATCTATAGGGATATTTTGTGTGTCTTTTTTTTTCTTGGAGTGTATATTTTGAGGAAATCAGGCGGTTTACCCTATGAAGTACTATGGACTAGATTTTGCTGATTTGATCCTGTGGTATTGCCTAACATGTTTCTCTGTCTCCTGTATTTCCTCTAAATTGATAGTTAGATCTAGAAACTGTAGATAATGATAACTATCTATAGATAGTTAGATCATTATAGATAGTTGATCACTATAGAAACTATAGATAGTTAGATCAGAATAATGTGTGAATTTTTGTTAACAGAATACTTAATAGTTGCTTTCTTCCATTACAAACCTTATAAAGTTTGATCATTTTCATTTTGTGATATCAGCAGCTATTGATGATTATTGCTTAGTTCCATTGTTTAATTAGGATTTGCAACATGATGGCATTCTAATTCTATTATTGCTTCTTGATTTACTGGCTAAAATACTTCTATAAAGAGAAACTTTTCATCAATTATTTAGTTAGACCCTCAAATATAATTCATAATTTAAAATCAGAGTTTGGGCACAAAAGGTGCTCATTGCTCCTGAGTGGGTTGTTGGTCTAGGCCTTTTTAGTGGGCAGAAGCAGGAAATACATTTTTTGTTAAATTGGTTGGTTGTGGTTTTGTTTATGTTGAGATAAAGTACGGCATAAGTCCATGCTGATACTTCCAATAAAGACCAAAGACTTTAAGATTTTTACTTATTATCACCAATCTTGCATCTGTATCCTTTCTCCCTCACTGAAAATCCCAATTCTCAGTTGTACCAATATAATTACTCATTTGCTTCATTTCACAATGTATGTGCAGTATTCATAGAATAGTATACTAACAATATGATTATTACAAATTAACATTTTTAAGCTCTTTTAAAATCCTTATTATAACCCACTATATACACAGTGAAATTCCTATATTAAATAAATTTCTTGTATTCCTGCATTAAAATCCTCTCTTTGGTCATGTCACCATTCTCACCTGTTTATCAACTTTGGTAATGTTGGAATATGCTAAAATAAGCCTGTATCGTATTTGTTAATTGTTAGAAATGTAAATCTGAAAAGAATTGCTGAAGGATAAACAATATTCTTTATGAAAAAGCAGATTTAACTCAAGTCCAAACTTTAGGGGAACATAAAATGCAATTTCTAGTTTAGAGGTGTTTGCGTTCTAAATCATTATCAAAATACACTCTTAAGAAATAATAAATAATTTTTTTCTTATTTAAAAAGAGCAGAGAGAAAAACCTACCTCAAAAATAAAATCAAGGCATTATTTTATTAATACCATTCCTTTATCTTAATATTTTTCTAAAATCTAGCATATTTACAATATTTTTGCTTGCCTTTTGTAAGAGAAATGCTATCATAGGACCTTTAAAAATGTGTTTGGCTTTTACTCTTAACTCTGATACATTTTACATTTGAAATGATGTTTTCTAGGAAAGGAGAGAATAAAAAGGTTTTTATTGATGTTTGTATGGCATTTAATCATCTATTTGAGTTTAAAGAATGAGCTTTGAGACTAAACCAAACTCTGGGTTTTTTACAGGTCCCTGAATGATGTGACTTTATCATTGATAATGGATCAAGCCTGTGGCTCCAGCTTTCCACTTATTAAGTGTCAAAATAGGGTGATTACGTTGAATATGGATTCTTTCACAGAACCACACTTGATGCCACGTGAAATAGGATCCGAGGCAAAAAGGATCAAGTTGACCCTTGATAGAGAGGAAAAGAAAAGCTTTGTTTGTGAACAACCATCTAAGAAAGAATGTGTACAGATAATTACTGCTGTAACATCTCTTTCACCACTTTTAGCATTCAATAAATTTTGTTGCATTGTGCTGCTACAAATTAGGGAGAGAGAAAATGGTAACTATCCTGAAGATCATTATATTCTGTGTGGCAGAGTTTTTTTAAGTCTAGAAGATCTTTCAAGAGGGAAATACATACTGACATTTCCAATGAAGAAACCTATAGGTAATTTTTGTTGGTACTTTTAAATCATGTATTCAATTGAATTAGAAAAATTTAAGAACTCTTTATCTGATAATAGACAGAGTTTAATGACATGATAGAGCTGGTGACTTTTTTTTTTTTTTTTTAGAACACATGGAAGATCTTTTTGTACCTCTTGCGGCATTCCACAAATCTTGTTTTCAAATCACGTCACGTAGATATGCCCTGGGTTCAGTGAAGGCATCCCTCTTAGAACACATGAAATGTGAAGTCATCAAAGAATTTCCAGAAATGTGCTTTTGTAAAAGGCCAGGAAGTTTCTATGGGACACTCTTTAAGTGGAAACAAAGAACACCATTTGAAGGGATTTTAATAATTTATTCCAGGTAATGTACATCAAATTGGAATCGGTCTGCATAAGTTAGTATGTATGAGTGTGATGAATGTGTGGACCAACAGCGATCCCCACATAGAATTCTGTGCTATTAAGGAACAAGTCAGAGCCATGGCTTGGTGTAGCATGACTGGACAGATTGGTCTCCTTTAGAAACTGAAGATCTCTGTTTTAATTTTATATTTGTTTTTGGCTTTTTTAAGGACCTAGTAATTGTTTTGGGATTTCCATTTACTTCTCCGCAATGAAATTTTTAAAAATTTTATACTGATATTATTCAGCAAAAAAATTTAATTGAAAACAATCTGATTAATATTAACTGACTTGGTATAGAATACATATATTTGATTGCTGCAGTCTGAATTTTATCAATGATTTCATGCATTATTGATTCTATTCATCATTAGTGTTTATAAATGAAAATTGATTAGTATGTTGTACGTGACTGCTTTGTGCTGTGCATATTTTTGTAATATTATGTTTGGTTTTTTATTTCAGGAATCAAACAGTTTTGTTCCAGTGCCTTCATAATCTCATCACAGTTCTCCCTGTGAACTGTTTCTTGAGAAATCTAAAATTAGGAAGTGAAGATTTCCTAATTAATCATATGGCATTGTCTTTGGAGAAGGAATTGGTTACACTTGGTTCTCTTTCTTCTGCCTTAGCTAAAGTTGAAAGTAACTTTGTGCAGAGGTGTGAAGCAAGCAAAGGAAAGAGTAGTGTCATGGCTGCTTTATCAGACAGAGAGGAAGAAATTCATTGGTACAGAAAAGAACTTCAGAGAGAAAAGGAGAAAACGTTGGAAACAAACCTAAAAGTGAGTGGTGCCCTTTACAGGGAAATAACTTTGAAAGCAGCTGAGGTACAGTTAAAATCAGACCTCACTGCACAGAAACTGACCAATTTATAATTACAGTTTCAGTTTGTTATTTTAAAATGTTTTCACTGCCATAAAGTTTTGGTTCCACTTGCTATATGCCACTTTTGTAAAAATATTGAGGCTTATTATAATAGAATCTTTAGTTTTGATGCACAAAATAGTATGCCTTGTAGAGCAGCAGTTCTCAGCTAGGGCCATTTTACCTCCCTACGCTCCTTCTCCCACACCCTGCAAGGATCATTTGGCTATGTCTGGAGACATAGTTTCCAGGTTTTGGTTGTCAGAAGTTGTGGGGCCAGGGAGGGGTGAGGCAGGGGTGCTATAGCATCTAGCTGGTAGAGGAGACCAGAGATGCTGCTAAACATTCTACTATGCACAGGAAAGCCCTCCACAACAAAGAATTATCTAGCCTAAAATGTCAATAATGCAGACGTGGAGAAAACCTGTCTTAAAGTTATCACATATGTGAAGACAGAAATGACATAATAGTATTTGAGTCTAAATCTTTTTAAAAACTTAATCCTTTTCTTATATGCTGCTTAGTAAAACCTAGCATGTAAAAATCAACTTCAAATAAATAAATAAATTAAGCAAGTTGTCAGGATTCACAAGTTTCTGTAAATATCGAGCTCCTCTATAAATTTAAATGGCAGAGTATCAGGGTGAGACCATGAAAATGAAAGTTTTTGAAACCCTTGTTAATTTGAATTTTATTAGAAAGCTGTTCTGAAAGTAAGTCTATAGGAATATGAAAATCGTAGGGCATTTTTCTGAAAAACATATCTCTTTCAAAAGGCTAAGTATACCTCACAGGCCACTATTTAAAAAATTGAAAATGCTTTTAAGCCATCCAAAATTCCAACTCTAGGCAATGTTAAAATACAAAATTCTAACTAAAAGAACCTAAAGAATATGGGACCCCTTAGGGACTTAGAAATTTAAAAGTAAGTACAAATTCACTTTAGCTAAGGAAGTGATTTATCAGGGGTCCAGTGAAATACATTTCAAAGGGATAAAATTTCAATCTAGTCCCCTTTTTTTGAAAAATAAGAATTCTAGACTAATAAGAAAGTGTCAGGAGAGAGAAAAAGACACAAAAGGATATAGGCCAAAAGAAATGTTCCTGATCCTGTTTCCCCTAAATCCTGTTTCCCCAAAATCCTTAAGTGAGATGGAAGTTTCCATCAGTTGAAAGAAATAAAGATGATTATAGAAAGTGGCATCTCATGCTTGTAGCTATGAAGTGCTAATTCCCCCCATGCCTTAGAAGTGCTTATACATAATGATCTGGTGATGCAAATAGTTTTTAAAGAATATAGATTATTAGTTTCTTGTCTTGGTTTTTATGATAGTCTGTATAATATGCTACCTCCTTCTGGTAATCCATTGCAAATTGAGATAGAACTCTATAGCTCTGTCTTTATGAAGTGTCAATGGAATATATTTCAGACTTTCTACAAATGGAAATAAAATAAATTCAGGATTAATTGTGGAAATCTGGAAACAGTATGTGTTATGTGCTGTCTTTAGAAACTGCCCATGATGTGTTTGGAAAGAACAACCAAGTATAAAATATAGGAATTAAATTGTAAAATGGAAGCTATCAGAAAACCAACCAGGATTTAATCATAATAGTTTATCTGTAGGGAAGTTAGGATACTAAAAAGTAGATCTCTACTTATTTTTTTTTTTTTTTTTTTTGAGACTGAGTCTCGCTTTGTTGTCCAGGCTAGAGTGAGTGCCGTGGCGTCAGCCTAGCTCACAGCAACCTCAAACTCCTGGGCTCGAGCGATCCTTCTGCCTCAGCCTCCCGAGTAGCTGGGACTACAGGCATGCGCCACCATGCCCGGCTAATTTTTTTTTATATATATATATCAGTTGGCCAATTAATTTCTTTCTATTTATAGTAGAGACGGGGTCTCGCTCTTGCTCAGGCTGGTTTTGAACTCCTGACCTTGAGCAATCCGCCCGCCTCGGCCTCCCAAGAGCTAGGATTACAGGCGTGAGCCACCGCGCCCGGCCCTCTACTTATTTTTTATTTCTCAGTGCAACCAAAAAGTATTTATATACACCAAATAACTTCATTACAAATGAGTTTTGTACTCCAGTGTATTTTTTCTACTTACTACAAACTAGAAAAGCCAAAGTCTGAGGAAATGATATTCTCACCACTTACATGATTGAGTTCTGTTTGCATCTGCAAGCATATTCTGCTGACTACTACCCTGCTCACAAATCTGAGGCCTCAAAAACACAGTCCTTCCAAATCCACACTGTCCAAAACAGTTCTCTCAAACCCACATTACTGAATTAAAAGTTTTGTTTAGGAACAAAGCTAAGGGGATGCATGAAAACACCTAGATCCTATACCCTTGTTGCAAATTAAAAAACAACAGACCCTTTAAGAATTCTAATACACAGGTGAATCTCTTATTGTCCTGATAGCATCTCTATTTATACCATATAGAATTGACTACTCAGTTTTTCCCAGTCTTAGGAAAAGATTTAATTAGCTTATATTTCTACCTGCTCTCTCCAATAGAAGCAAAAAATTCAGCTATCTGGGTTAGTCAACTGTGTAAAGCTTTGTTTTCTCCTTTTTTTATTGCCTAAAACTTGGAAAATATTGAGAGGAATCCTTTTTCTTCCTTATCCTCTAAGTTGCAAAAACATTACTTTCCATGCTAAGAATTTGAGAGTGAAAGCTCTTTCTTAGATAACCCCATCTGAAGAATTTTAGGATTTTACTACAAAAAAAAAGAGTAGGACAGTAGAAAGAATGCTGACACATAAACAATATACTTAATTCTTTAAGGGTTTATTTTGTTTTATATTTTGGGGTTTTCTATATCTGTTGCTTGAATTGCTTACTGCCTCAACAAAATAGCCCTGTCCTGTAAAACCCTACTGTGGTGAGTATCCTTGTAATGCTAATGATCAGGTCATTCTCTAGGACCTTATTTCAATAATCCTGTCTTGCCTTTTTATTCGGTAAGGTGCCAGATCCTAATGTTCATAAGGGCAGTAAATCAGACACCTACCATGCTCTTGCTGTTTAGGTTTTTTGTTTGTTCGTGTTTTTTTTTTTTTTTTTTTTTTACTGTGCTACACTTCTGAGTAGATACTATGCTGGACAAAAGTACCTGTGTGCATAACTGTGGGTCAACATCATGGCCGTGGGTTCAGCCAGAAAGTTTCTTCAGCATTTTTAACTTTAATTATCCATTTCCCCACAGCAATAGCCACTTACTCCAAAGTATAAGTGGTGTTATGGCCAGTAAAGCATGCTATTAGTAATGAGTCGAAACATTTAGCAATAGATTACCAGGCCAATCAGGAGTAAGAGAGAAGTATGATGCACTCTATTGATTACCTCTTCCACATCTTTGCCTCTTTTTTTCAAACTGGAATGCTCATTTTGTTCAGGAAACTTCCTTTTCCATAGTTCATGTGATTGGGGAGGTGGACCCCATCCCCAGTTCCAGAGGTTACTCCTGACTAATCTAAGCCAGTTAGTGTAAGACATTTCTCTGGCCGCTGTTACTGGTCTAGGGTGGGCACAAGACCTAAATTGGGCCTAATCACACTGAGGCATAGGACTTGGTTCTTTGGTGAGGAAAAGACTATATGTCCTGCTGGAAGTAGGTGGCCCTTATTTTAAAATTAACAGTTATCTCACAATCACAAGGAAATTAAGGCTTAGAATAAATGTGACACTGTGGATTGCAAAATTTTTTTGATCGTTGTGCCCCTGAATCAAATCTAAATCCCGCCCTTTCCTTGGATTGCTGATTACTTAAGAAAAAAATTCCTTGTTACATAAATCAAGGTTTCTATTACTTGCAGCTGAAATTATTTCTAACTTCTAAAAATGGAAAAAAGAATCCCAGAGAACAAACCACATGGAGTCCCAGAACAGAAAGAATTTGCTAGTGAAGAAACAGGATGCTTGTACCTCTAAAAGAATAATAACGAACTACCCACCCTCCTGCCCCATATGCACATTTTATTTCTGAGCAGTGGCTCAAGTTTTTCCTTTTTTTTTTGAGTTTACAATTCAAATTAGTACATACTTGATAGTAGTATATACCTGAAAATAGAAACTTTATTATTCTTTTCTCTTTTTCTTAGCTTCCCTGTGGCATTACACTAGACCAGTTGATCTTTTATGTCTTCCTCTTTGGAGGAGGAGATGTATATCAGATCATTTAACTTATTTCTCATTATTTCCTATTTTAGAATATAAAGTTATAAAAATGTAAGTCGTATCTGTCTAGTGCATTTCTTAGATATCTGAATTCAGACTGTCAATTCTCATTTCTTCTGACAACTGTTCTTGTATTTTTAGCTATATCCTCTCCAGTAGAACAGAAGAAGAAATCTTTATCAATTTTTATTGTTGTAGGAGTCTTTGTGCTAGAAAAAACTGATTTGATGTTATGAGACTCTTCTGGAAATAGAGTAGTATTCGTATATCAGAAGAGATGCACAGTGTTATTAACTTAAGTGCTAGTAGCCTTTTCAGAGAAAACCAATATGTGCTAGAACATGAGTGGTTTCTTCTTAATATGTACTAGGGAATGAAAGATAACCCTTTCTAACTTCATCAAAAAACAAGTTGATGGTAATTTTTAGTTTGTTTTTTGTGAGCCTGATAAGATGTTTCAAGGTTTAGAATGACTGAGTAACTTTGGTTATGTCAAGTGTAATAATAAAATCCTCTTATGATTTATCCAAACAGGAAATTAGTATGTTCAACACTTGAAAGATTCTTGTAAAAAGTAGTAAAAACATTGGAGGAGATAGAGTCTGAAGGGAGCCAGGATCAAATGTGTTCTTAATAGTCCGCACAATCTTCAGAAAAACTGAACGTGTAATACATATTGTTAGGCCCAGGAAGGGCAGGTAGGGCTTTGTGTGTAGATTAGTCAGGTGTTTCTTAAAGCCAGTGCCACCTGGAAGGGGAAATAACAGGAAATATAGATAGTAAGAAAAAGAATCATCCACAATAAGAAGAAAAAGTATTGAAGAAAACTATAACCCACACTTCCATACCAATTTTTAATTATGTGGCACGCTAAGTAATTTCAATAGTGAACATTTATTGATTATAGTATGCCAGACATTGATCTGAATGCCCATTAACTCATATCTTTTCAACTCTATAAAACTGTGCTTCTCAGGATAGTAACCACTAGTCATGTAATTAATTTACATTTAAATCAGTTAAAATAGAATAAAGTTATTTAGTCCCTTAGTTGCTCTAGCCACATATCCTGTGTTTAATAGTCATATGGGGCTAAGTGGCTACCATTTGGTCAGTAAAGAGTAGAACATTTCCATTGTCATAGAAAGTTCTATTGGGCAATGTTGCTCTAAGATGTGTACTATTAACTAACTCTTGTTTACAGATAAAGAAACTGAGACCCAGAAAAGTTAAATAATATATCCAAGGTCATATAGTTAATAAGGAACAGAGCCAATTAATAAGGAACAGAGCCAAGATTCAAATCCTCCAGTCTAGCTATAGAACCTTTGCTCTTTCACCCCTATGCTATTCTGCTTATAAAGTTAGTTTGTAATAAAACACTGCCATTTCCTGACAGTTTTATATTAACAAGATGCATTTATTGTTAAAAGGGGGGTTTATAAGAAATACACAATTCCATAAAAGTATAAATCTGCTAATATAATTGAAACATCAGGGAAAATGTAGGTTACGTCATCCTAAATCCTGTAATGGGCAGGTAGGTTCTTAGAGTTTCTTGGTGGCCCCAGCTGAGTTTTTTATCTCTTCACTACTTCCCTCCAACTATGTCTATATACTGTGTGTCTGTTCCCTATTTCCTCTCAGTTGTCTTTGTTAGAACTAACATCACTCTCCAGAATTATGTCACTACCATTGCTAGTTCATATTTTGGGGATTTTTAAAAAATGAAAAGTGTCAGTTCTCTAGCCCTAAAGTAGCTTCTTTTCAAGACATGTCAAGGTCTTGAGAGTCTTCGGAGTTTTTGTTGATGGCTGGCGGTCACCACAGTAGAGGGCTTGGAATTCCAGGCAAAGATGTGAGCTGTCTAGTCTGGAAAATTTACGTCTTTACTCTGGATGAATACTGCATCATTTGAGAAGAAAGGGAGGTAGAATTATGTTTTCTATTTGTACCCAGTGCCTATTTTAATCTTTCCAAATGATACATCTATAGAAAACGTTTCATTTCTTACAAAATATCAATGGTGTATGAAGTGAAAGGGGATATGGAGATCCTTTATTCAGTTATGTGTCTATTGAGGTTTCACTGAATACATCGTTGTGCACATCTAGATGCTGGAGATAATAAAGATAAACTTAAGACTCTTTTCGTGGCTTTCACGAAGTCTTAATGGGAGACACAGTGGCACAGAGTTGTATGCTACACTGAGGTAATTAATTAATACAAATTTTACTGGGGTTCCATGGGGATGCCCTTATAGGACACTATATCTAGTAGGGATACTAAGAGCAGTCATTCTTAATTTGGGGCAAGAGGCCCTATTGGGGATCTGATAAAAGCTAAGGATATTCATGTTGGAGGTAGTTGTGATATTAAAGTGGTATTATAATGGTGTTTTACCTCATGATTTAGAGAAAATCCCAGAGAGAAATATATACACAAGGAAGTTCTAACCAAAGCACTTTAAACAGCAAAAAAAGATCCA